TCTCACACTTTCTCTCCGCTCTTATTCTTGTGCTGGGCTCAAAATCAGACAGTCACGAAGCGTGCACTTTTTTCACGATTGCTGAAGTTTTGAGCCATGACGACTGGTCGCAAAGCATGCGTCACGGGACCACCAGTCCGAACGCTGTGTTGGAGCCTCCGCATTCCAGTGAACATCAGGCCACTTAGCCCTGCCAAGTCAGCCGTGAGCCGCAGGTTAGTTGACAGTTGGTAAAGGCCCCCCTCGCTTTCGGGGTTTTTCTCAACCTTCAAGGGTCCCGACTGTTTTTGGGCCCAACTGGGTTGTTCAGGGCCCAGGAATTGGTCTGGAGGGTCCGGTCGGGGCATTGGAGGGATCATGACCCGGGACTGAAGATAGTGACAAGTTGTGCCCCGAATGGATCCTGATAGGCCAACAAAAAGTGATCCCACCGCTTTGCCTCTTGCCCAAGGAACCTGCGCTTTCTGTCCAAGAGCATCAAAGGCTGCGCGCTCCTGTACGCCGCGATGAGCTACGGTGAAGATGCAGACAAGAAGCAGGTGGCGGAAGCCCCTCGTTTTCTCCAAGTGGTTAGTGAAAACAATTCAAGATGCAATTTTCAATTGAGGGGACATTGTCAACGCGTGAATGAAAATTGGACATCGACGGATGACCAGCCAATCACAGCCGCAACACAGCTGTTTGAAGCAAAAAGCTTCGAGCGGAAGCGCCCCGAAGCTCATTGCTGCCATTGTTTTCGCCACTGACCCGCCCCAACGCTTTTCAGCTTGCTTCCACGCCGCTTCCTCTTTCAAATAATCGCTTGCGCGCTGACAACCCTCCCCCCCCAACCTCCCCCGCCCCCCCCCCCCCAAACCACCCCCAAACCACCCCCCCCCTCCCCCGCGGCATGTTTGCACTTCAATCCGCAGGCTCCGGCGCGTCCGGCCGAGGCGCTCATCCTGCAGGGCCACGTGCCCAGTTTCCGTCAAGGCTCCCGGGACGTGGTGGAGCGCATCTGGGCCCTCGCCGAGGAGTTGCCACATGCGCCATGGCCGAAGCGGCGAATCGGACGGCCTCAGGCTGGTCGCGTCTCACGCAACTCTTGCGCATGGATCCCTTGCACATCTAGGTCCCCCAGTAGTGCCCTTCTCACCCCTTTTTCGGTTGGGAGGGTTCCCCTAGATAAACTACAGAAAAAAAGTTGGTACCAACTTATTCGAACCTCTCTACTGGAGGACCTAGACATTCTCATGTTGTGCTCACGCACAGGAAGCACACGTCGGACGGCACAGTGTTTGGGTGCTTGCCACCGCAGGCTGCAGCGACTGGGGAGCATTTCTCAAGGATGAATAAATTGCACATGGAGGTAGCTGCTTCGCCTGTTTGATTGCATTGTAGCATGCTGTGTCATGAGTAGCAACGATGGGAGGGCGACGGTCGCTTGTGGGGGGATTCCTGCAATTGAAAGAAGTTCTGGTAGCTGGACATCGTAAATGGTTCTATCTGAATCTAAACAAATTGAAGATTGCGTAACACGGCGAACGTGCTCGTGAGTAACTCCACGCTTTCGCAGGAGTACACAATCAAATGCAGAAACTGCTATGTTTTGACAGCACGGGCAAAAGAACGGGAAAAACAGACCTCATTTACAGTCGAGGCACCATACATGTTCCCTAGAGGGCATGATTTGAAGCGCAGGCTGGAGTGACAAATTTGCAGTCCTTGCCTGCTTCAGCGGGAGTATCTGCGGGAGAGGGGGGGACATTCGGTATTTTTGCTCACGACGCGCGCGCATTTGCGTTTTGGCGTCCTGCCGTGCGGTCAGCCCGTATGCTTATCAGCCTTGGATGCAGTCCCTTTCATTCGTTCTTTGGTAAGAGATTCATAGGCTGTCCAGCGACCGGTTTCTGGCTGTCGGCCTGGGATGCGGTCGGGGGTGGATCGTTTTGTGTCGAACTTGCACACGGCAAGCGGTCGATTATACGCTGCCCAGTGATGTGGTCGCATGTCCCAGTTGCCCAGTGGTGCCCTTCTTGCCTTTGTTTGGGAAGGACCCCCTAACCTCAACCAACATAACCAACCAAAAATTTGGATGCCCTTTTTCCCCATGGCCACTGGGCATCTGAGATGTCTGTTAATGGAAAATGAATATGTTCACCAAACGCGCTCAGGGTGCTGCCTCAATGTCCAAAGTTGCCTGCAAAACGGGTGTGCCTGCCTTTCCGAACCGAAAGACCACACTCTCATTCCATGTCTTCACTGTTCTTTGCAAGTTGTTTGGTTTTTGTTTGTTTTTGGGTCTGTTCATGTTTACTGGTGGGGGAGGGAAAAACCAAGTTGTTTGCTACCATACCGTATGGTTGTAGGGCAGGCCGGAAGGCCAAACGAGAAAGTCGAAGGTCGGCCAGGCAAACTCTTTAGGCAGTTCTGGGACAGTTCTGGGATTGACTTTCCGTGCACTTGTGCCGAGGTGTGGCCGAAAATGAGTCGCAGGGCCGCCGCCCAGTGGAGAAATTCGAGAAATTGGGGCTGATGCCCGGCTCGGGCAGTTGAGGATGGCTTGGATGACCATATCGGATTTTTTTTTCAGCAGCGGCTCAACTCCCAAGAATATCCTGTTTCCGATGGGGAGGTTTTCGCGCAAGAGTCACCCTTTTGCTTTGTGGATCAACAGCGCGGGGTGAAAGGAAGCCACACATCATCGAGCTGTTTGCAGGGTGGGCCAGCATAGTGAGACACGTCATCCTCAGCATCAATCCCGAATCAATGGCAGGTTGGGTTACCCTTGAGAAAAGGAAGCCTTAAAATATAATTGTTCCTTTTCTCCAGAGCAACCTTGCCTGACACAATGTTATGCTTCGATATCAGCGGAACATCGCCACCCGCGTGATGCCGCGGAATTCACAACCAGTGGGATCTCCAAGAAAAGATGTGCTTCTCATCTTCTCGGCATTCACACAGTGACTTTGCAAATTGCATCCATTGAGTGAAGAACTATGCTTGAGGATCCCAGTGTTTCAACCTACAGTCTCTCGCCTGGGGGCCAGAATGACTTCGGCTCATTCTCGTCCCGAGGATCCGTGCATGTGCCAAATGCCTGTGCTGCGCCCCGCGCAGCTCTTACCGCGCAAGTTCTCACGCGCATTGGTTTTAATATGATCCGCACAGTCGGCGTGGGAGCGAGATAGGCGATTCCCCGCACGAGTTATGATGCTGATGGAAGTTTCCTGGATGTTTGTGCGACCTCAGAGGTGACTAGATGTTGGGGCAGAACCAACCTGAAAAAAAACATGTCATGTGAATGAACATGTTGAGTCGAGTGTGACACCCGAGATGCTTACCATGAGCAGCGAGCGCATGATTAGCGCTTAAATGCTTTGCCTTTGCTGCTGGTGTGTACCCCAAATATTATACTGGTGCCTCTTCAAATTAAGGTCATCACCACTTGTCACAGTCAGGTTTTGTTTGCAAGATGCTTGATGATGTTTATTCACATGTACAGCAGAATTGCATATGTCTAGTGTTGAAGAGGGTCATCCATTAGCAGAGTGCCATGACATGTCAACTCAAATGGCCAGTGGCCCTGCAATGATCACAGCGCTGACGGGCGCTGATGGATCCATTCAGCATGGGTACATCAAGCCAGCTGCAAATATTGCGAACAACAATTTGGGGTCGCTGACGCAGCAGCAGAGGTGAGCTTTACAAGAGTGCATTCGCTTTGAAGAGGTCAGAAGAAAGTGCAGCATACTGTAGCTGTGTCGAGCTGAATGCAGCCTGGAAAGCTTTGCAGTCGGATTCTTAGGGTTTTCCTGTTCTGGATCCTTACCGGAGACTCGCCAAGACAGAACCGACATGTTTACAATGTTTGCCGGGGGGACGTGGAAATCAGGGTCGGTGGCCGTTTCGGCTGAATCGACCTTCCCCACAAGCATTGGTTTGTGCCCTGAACTCTTGAGGCTCCTGACGAGAGCACTCTGCATGGCGCCAAGCAACATTTTGGCAATCGAAAGCATAGCGGCAAACAGGACCATGATGGTTAAGTTAAACCCTCAATATGGCCTTAAAAGTCTCCCTGGAGCCACGGCCCGGGGGGGGGGGGGGGGCAAAGGGCGGCGTTTTCCACGCAGGGGCCTGCTAGGACCGTAGGACATCTCTCGCTTTTTTGCCTCAGAGCTTTCGCCAGTTGCTCTGTAAGACCTGAGCTTTGCGAAGGCCTCACCTAGGCACATCCCTGAGGTTTTCATTCGGATCTGCTTTCTTGAGGTAAGATGATGTTCATCACGCCCCCATGCGTTCCTGCTCGTTCATGTATTTGTTTGGGGCCGTCCCGAATGCAAGGCAGCTGTTTGCTTGATATGGTTTTGAAGCGGGGGTCAGCACATCTAGTCCGAAACTGAAACTGGTCGGCTTTGCTGTGACCAGAAAGGGGGATCAATGTCCACCACGAGTCGAACTCGACCATTGGCCCGTTGTCCCTTTCCTTTTTGCGCACAGACCTCCCTTTTGGACTTTTTCTTTTGTTTCTTAGGCGCGTGCCTTTTTTCGTCGACGTGAAATCAAACCTTGAGGGTTTGTTGGTACCTTGTGAGGTAGCAAATGACCCTTTTGCGATCCCTGTGCATGAGAAAGTACCCAACCCCTTCGGCCGCTTTGTTGTTGAGCTATTTGTCCAGTGACCCAGAAAGATAGTTAGAATCTTTTCAGGGCCACCATTTTTAGAAGTCCAAACTATTTTTGTTGCCACAAAATAGAATCCAAACTGTTGTAAACCACTTGCAGTGGTTTACCACCATTTTTAAACTCCAGGCACCCGGGATTGAGAGAGTGAGAGAGGGTTGAACCCACTGAACAAGTGCTTTTGTTGAACAGTTGGTTGCCCACCCTCCTCACCCTACCTCCCACCCCCCCACCCCTCACCCTACTTCACCACCCCACCCCACCCCCCAACCTCCCCCTAAGCCCCCACCCCACTCCCCCAAAAAGAAGGCACCTCCGCTTGGAGTTGGCTTCGACAGGCACTGGAGGAAGAGCTACGACGCAGTGGGATGGACACCCGGAACCAGCTCGACCAGGCCCCCAGAGCTGGACACTTTCAAGCGAGTGTCAGGTCCCACACAGCAGCCTGACCTCGTTGCGCGTGTGGATGGTGTGGTTTTCGGAGGCTCGGCACCCTTTGTGAGACTTAAAGGGAGGGTTGGTTCAACTGGAAACCAAAAGGAAAAACCTTCACTTTGGGGTTCCCCTATTTTGACAGGCCAAGTTGTTCAGCGGGATTTGTCTTTGCTCAGTGGGACCTAACAGTTCCAAGTTCCAACCTTTTATTACCTGAACCATTTGCTCGAGGAAATTCTGGCCGTGCGTTTTTGGTGGGGCTTGTGTTTTGTCTTGGCTATTGGACATGGCTGGTAAGGATTTGTGACTTGCTCAAGCACAAGCAGTCGTCCAGCACTAGAGTACCTTGTTGCCCGTTTACCCTTTTGGATTTTGACCGTTTTTCGCTACCAGCAACGAGTTTCCCTTTCTTGGAAAGAGGGTCGGCGGACACTGTCAACCAGACCTTCAGGTGGCAAGTCTGAAAAGGACTATATATCCCTTCAGTTCGCAGTAGTAAAATGTGCTACATTTACACAGCCTCTTTCCCTAAATGAAACCAACAAAGAGGATGGATATTTGCTTTAGCCGAGACCCCCTGTACACATCCAGTTCTTCAGTGGCACCCTTCCTCCATTTTTGGGACATACCAAAAGTAGCATCGACCCTGACTTGGTTGCAATTTAGTTTCATCCGAACGCGTCGCTAGTTGCATCCGAACGGGGACTGCCATCCGCATGCGTGTCATCTTTCAGGGTTTAGCCCCCTGACAAACAGACGGCTTGCTTGAGCATGGGTGGCATCGTAGACTGTTCCCAGCTTGCCACAGGGGAAGTGCGATGACTGACTGTGTGTGTGTGTGCGGGTCTTGCATCTCGGAACTCCTTATTTGCGGAATGATATAAACGGCAACCAAGGTATATGAACCTGCCATTTTTGAAGGTTCCCTGTTTCATGACACACACCTCTTGTTTTCAGCGAATGAGCGACTCCCAATAGAAGTGCTCGGTTCAGTATAGTTTCTTCGCTGGTTGTTTGCTATTTGACCTCTGCTTGGGTGTTCATCCGAGTTGGTAAGTGGTTTGCCGCCTGGATTCCAGCCCGCTCATAGCAGGGTTAACTCCAGAGATCTTGACCTTCAATTGGGTTATAGCCGAGGTGATCAACAGCTTTCTATCTTTGCCGAACATGCACATGAGCGTTAAACATCCTTGTTGTTTTGCCCTAAGGGTCCCATCTGTTTTTGGGCCCTCCAAATGGGGTGTCTTTGAGGGCCCTTGAGGGGGCGGGGTTCTCCACTGGAGGGTCCAGGGGTCTGCATTGGAGCGGTCATGACCCTTAGGGTGGAACATGGACTTCTTCGTGTTCCACCAGCAACATGTTGCGCTATTGTGCAGCGAAGAGCAACCAAGTTCGGCATCATTTGTTGCCCCTTTGGGCGTCAAGCTGAAAGCGCCCGGTAAAGTTGCTGGTCTCTGTCCAGTTGCGACGTCACGGCCCCAACCGGCGATCCATTCTTTTCAGCTCCTTTTGGGCGATTGAGTCATGGCGAGGGCCAAGATGAAGCTCGCATGCAGATTTACATGCAGCAACCGGGGTCCTGTAAGCGTTGAGTCCGCTAAAACCGACATATCTCTGGGTTCCACACTAGTTTTCAGGAGTGCAGCGGTGAACATTGGGGTTGTACTGTGCGGCTATCGGGAGAGCACCTATTTATCGCGGGTTCCGATCCCATTTCGAGATACACCCAGAGGCTCGCTCGCTCCGATGTCACAAATTTCTGGGAAGGGCCAATGTGGGGCCCTCCGTTGGTACACCCAGTTGCCCGTGGCGCCGGTTTTTTTTTTTGGGGGGGGGGGAAGGGTTCCCCTTGAAACTCAACCTGACAAATGGATTTAACTCGTGCTTTGCCCTTCTGCTTAGTGGGACGGCCTGATTTTTGGCTTCGGCCGAGATGTTGGCTCCACTGACTCAAATTGGGGGAGGTGGGGTCTTTGAGCAATGTGGCGCCACCAAAACACGGGTGCCTTTTTTTTTCCATGGAAAGCCACTGGGCATCTGAGTACAGGCCCATTGGTTTTCGCAGAGAACGCGGATGGCCAGGCAGCCAAGTTGGTTTGCGTCACATACCTAACTCCTGGCACCCACCCTCCCACCAGCGAACCTGGAAGTGCACAGACTGTAGAAAGACGACTTTCCTCTTGGTTAGGTGGCCTTTTTGCACTTCCATGTTAGTTGGTGGGAGGGTACATGACCTCTGGTGACGTTCAGGGCTTGGGAGAAGCAGATTTTCCGGCATCTTCGGCTCAAACTTGGATCAGAGCGAAAGAGCTCCTGCTCCTTATGCAAAACCGCATGCGGCGGAACAGCGAATCCGTGACAAGTTGCAGAGAAACTGTTCAGACGTGCGGACGCAAGTGATCAGCAGTCAAAACCCTCTTGGCCGTGCTACTAGGGAGTTCCAGACTTGGTTTAATGGGAACTGGCGGCAGGCCTACACAAATCCTTGCTAACTAACCCAACATCGAGTTGTAGGCGCGGCCTAAGCGTTTGGCAATGCTGACATGCAAGACGGCCAAGCACGAAGAATGCGGCTTAGAAGTCTCAATTATTTCTTGCGTTCAGCACTCACCAGACATCTATCCATATAGATAAGCAAGCTTCCCAGCGCTTGTATCGCCATGTCGCCAGATGCAAATGGGCACCTCGGCGTTCCAGAAAGATGGTGGTGAACAAATAAGATGTGTGCTCGTTCACAGATGGCAAAGACCCAGACAAGTGCATCCAAAAGGAATGTTGTCTTCCAAAGGGGGTGCATGCACTTCCATGTTGGAGAGAAGGGCAACCGTTCAACGGAAAGCTACATACAAGGACCCCTGCTTCAGAATAGGAACTCTGGACGAGCAAGCAAGTCTGACCAAAGTATTGCATCCTATAGTGTCAATTCGGCCAAAGGATTGGGTTTTACGGGTCCCCTTTCTTGGTGACAACAAAAGGAGATGTGGACCCCAAACTGGTCGGTTTCATATCTTTTTGGTATTGATTGGTGTGATTTTGGCTTTTTGATTATAATACTTTACACAAAAAGGGAGTTGCGAATTTGGGGTCCACGCCTAGAACAGCTTTTTTGGAGTGGTTGATCAATTATTGCCCTTTCCAAACTGCCCGAAATGGACATCCCCCTCGACTAGTCTTCAAAGGTCGTCCATATGTCCCCCCACTCAAGGAGTCAAAACAATTCATACCCCAAAACAGACTCCGCAACACACCCCGAAAGACCGCGGACCAAACTTACACAGACCCCAGCTCTAAGCAGTGCCAAATGCGTAGCTCACAGCTCGTTTGGCGAGTGGCTGAACATTGGGTGGTGTCCTTTGGGTTTCGAAGAACCCAAAGCCATCGCAAAGAGAAGCGCCAAAAACAACTTCCGAGCACCGGCCTCGGACAGCTCAAGTGAGTTTCAAGCTCCGAATTCGAGTAACTCAACTTCTGAAGGTTTCGGAGACCCTACGCTGATTTCAGTCCAACCCAAAAGCCCTAAGTCATGCCCAAAGCCAACTTCCGGAACCCCAGGCTTCCTGGCCAGGAACTTCAAACCACGGAGCGTGGCTGTGCCCCTCACGGAAACACATGGAATGACTTGGGCCAAGCTCAATTGGATAGGCGAGAACAATTCCCGACACAAATGAAACAACCTCCTGGAAGCCTATATGTGACGTTTTGTTTCTTTTTCTGTCCATACGGCTTGGGCCACAAGAAATGGCCATACGGGAAAAACGATCCAAATACGGGTTCCGGCCAAACAAAAACAGAAAATTCGGCCATGCGGCTTTCCAGGCTGTGATTTCCGTTTGTCCGAAGCACAACTTCTCCGCGAGGCGTAGGCCGTCCACTCGCAGCTGCACGTCAGTGGCTCCGTCTGCACAGGTTGAATCGATTCGATGACAAATTGGTGTGCGTGTGTTTTTTGAGGGCGCCCTGTTTGGGGAGAAATGTTGACCCCGGATGAATCAACCGTTTGTGAATATGGGGGATCATCACTTTTGGAGGGGCACACGCCCCCCCTATTCTGAAACTGGAGGCGAAGTTGGGACACATGAGTCTCCTTGCTTGGTGCAAGGGATCCGAACCAGTTGATGGAAAAGGCCCAACAACAGGACCCTTCTCTCCTCTTGTTTTCAATGCATGTAGAAGCCAAACGTGTTTTTCCTGAAATATCAAGGCATCTTGCTTGCTGTTTGGGCTGTCCCACCAATTCTCGTGGGTTTTTTGTTGTCCTAACCTTAGGCCCTTTAACCCATCACATCCCATGCCCCTTGACATGTTTGAACGCTTGGGGAGGGGTACCCTGTTTGGGGTTGGTGTACAGGGAACTTACATGGGTGTGGGGCTCCATTTTGGGTACCCATTTTGGGTACCCATTTTGGGTACCCATTTTTCACCCACAGCTTTCAATGGAAACCACGGGTTATCGTTGGTTTGAGCCACATGTGGAACATGTTTGGCTACCGGTTGGCGTTGAGATCTGGCGCTCAACCCTGGACGGTCGGCCAGATCCAATGAACTGTTGCTGGGTTCTGTTCGTGGAAGTCCATGGCTCAGGATGGTTCGCAAACCAAAGCTGGGCCCGTGTTTTTGTGTGCCAGGCACCCTGTGGGTTGGTTTCGAGGGGGGGACTACAGGACCCCCAGCCTTTTTTTTTTTTTTTTTTTTTTTTTTTCGGATCCCCTGTTTTCAGACACACCCAAATCTCACAGGAATCCTAACTGGATTCCTCATGCCAAATCCACGGAGAAGGGATTCCCCTAAAGAAATGACTCAAGGCATGGTTCATGGGAGGCCATTGAGTTCTACTCACAGGCTTTGTCTCAACGAGAACGAGTCATGATGTCATGGCTTCACGAGCTCCATAGTTGATTCCCTGCCCAGAACCAGCAAATATACAAAGGCAGTGGCGGCTTCCCTTTTGATTTCCGTTTAA